AGCTATAGCCGAGATCTGTTTTCCTGACTTAACAGTTTCAACATACCAGCTCCTCTTAAGTTTTTACCATCTTGCAGTAGAAGAGGCTAATTCTAAAGAAAGAGACCTCTTCTCTCTCAAGCCTGAGGTCTGGTACCTCCTGGGACTGTGGGAAGAGCAGATGGAAAGTTCTGAAAAGCAGGACCTTGGACTGTGGGTTTTACCCTGAGACTTCCAATGGGTGGCTTTGGTGGCAAGACTTTCAAGCCCAGGGAAGAAGCCAGGTACAGGCTCTCCCACCTATCCTCTGGTCTCTGGGAGATCCCATTCTTCCAGAATCCATGTCACTGGTCCAAGTATTGGACTGCCGACAGAAGCAGAGCTGGAGCCTTACCCCTGGATTGACATATAAAGCCAATTCTCATCTTCCACAGTGGTTATGTTCTATAAAGTCACCAAGAACACTGAATTAGCAAATGCTGAACCACTGAGCCTAGGGGAAATATAGGGTTAGGTTCCTATGAGCCTCCGGCCACATTTTCATCAACCAATTAATACGCAACCTCATTTTTTGTGTTTCTGAGTAAAGACGCTTTATTTAATATATATTGTGGATTCATTAACATAGAACTCACAGCCAACAGCAATATGACTCTACATGCCTGAACAAAGCTTATCTAATGGCCACATTTTCATCAACCAATTAATACACAACCTCATTTTTTGTGTTTCTGGGTAAAGACTCTTTATTTAATATATATTGTGGATTCATTAACAGAACTCACAGCCAACAGCGATATGACTCTACATGCCTGAACAAAGCTTATCTAATGTGTTTTATTTTCTCCATAAGGCATATCACAGCCTTCTTGTGCTTAGGAACACTGGACAGAACTTGGGGGCCATTTGAAACAACAAAATCACCAACGAAAAGCACAAAATATTAGAAAATGCGGCAGTAAATAGTCTGTGAAAAGGACACTTGTTAACAGGATGAGAGCTGAAACAAAGCAGCCAGGTGGGAATGTGTATGTAAGAGGATTAATTTTTTCGCCACTCTATTCATGTCCACGAATGACTGCAAAAGTGCCACAAGATTTGGTTTAGGAGTTACAAGTAAATTTTAGTGAGTAGGCAAATTTAGAAATAGGGAACCACCAATAATGAGGACCAACTCTGGACGCTGAGAGAAAGTAGCTCTCTCATCGGGCTGCTGGGCTGGGGCTGCTCGTGGCCACATAATCTGTTCTTTAGACAGGGCTGTCTGAGAAAGGACAGAACAAGGACAGAATACAGAGGCCAGCAGAAAGATGAACAGAGAATGAGAAGCAGTTCCTGTTTCTGCTCCTCAAGATCCTGGTTCCTTGGACTCAGTGAATTAGAGAATGTGAGCATCTTCTCAGCCACTAATTCCAGTAAATTCTCTTTTTTCGCTTAAACTAGTTTCTGACCTTACCGGGCAACAGATCCCAACTTGTGCACTGGGCAGTAGGGACTGGGGACATCAGACACACTCTCACTAGAATCAGGACAGGTGACAGAAAAGATTGGGCAATTAGCGGCAAGAGGAGAAAGGCACACGCTATGTACTGGCACCAATGACAAGCGTGTGGGCACACACAGGTGTCAGAGAAAACATGGAGTCCCGGAGTGGCCCAATTCTGGCCCAAGTGCTTCCTGACACAGGGCCTAAGTGTCTCTTAGTCTAGGTTCCCCCAGAAATGGACGCTGATGCCAGGATGCGTTTCCAAGTCGTTTATCCAAGAATCACTAGAAGAGGTGTGGGGCAGTGAGACGGGGAGGGAACGCAGCCCGTACAGTGTGTATCACCAACCCTGTGACCCCTGTGGGCCAATGGGGCTAATGAAGCCAGTGGAGAACACATCAGAGTTGTCCCAACCAAGGGCAAGGGTACTGGGGTATCGACCCACCAGCTCCCCATCTGTCCTTGGTCTCTTCCAAAGGCATTAACTCTCCAGGACTTCCCTCCACCAGAAGCCAGCAAAAGCCTTCAGGTACAGTGGCAGGTGTTGGCACAGGTTTGTGCCAAAGAGATAAAGACAGGCACCAATAGTGTCTACAATGGTTTCTGTTCCCTGCCACAAAACCAACCAGTCCAAATCACCAAAGGCCTTGAGGAGACCGAAACCCGGTTCACGCCTACTATACTCTTCCCCCAATAGTTCGCATAGCTCATGCCCTTACCTTTTCCAAGTCTTGGCTCAAGTGTCATCTTTTCAATGAGGCTTTCCATACCCTCAACCCCAATCCTGACCCTCACCATCCCCCACCGGCACTCTATTTCTTTCCATATACATGTAATGTATTCAATTACGATTTATAAGACCAGTCACCAACCTGTGCCACACATTAGCAGACATTCTACAGTCAGGTGCAATGCAGGCCCGAGTCTTGACATGCACTGAATCTGATAAGTGCCACCTAGGATGCAGGCCACCCCAGGAGAAAGTTCTACTGAGATTACCCAGTAATTTGCAGAAGCACAGCTGCAACAGGATGCACAGGGTCTGTGATCAGGTGTCACACCTAAATCTGGGAGAGACACCTAAGCAGATGGCAAAGCCAGCAGACATGCTCGATTCCACATTTTCAGTCTCTGTGGGAAAATAAAGCCACCTGACCTCATGAAGTGGGACACAGATTCACCATCATGATCATCGCAGCAGCTGCCACATGGAGAACACCTTTATGCTTGAGGAAGAAGGAAAAATATGGAAGTAAAGGAAGTGGGCAGTGCAGAAAGAGGAAGGAGGTATAGTCTAGAACTGCACTGTCTGCTATAGTAGCTACTGGCCAGATAGGGCTATTGAGTACTCAAAACTGAATTGATGCAAATTGACGTGTTCTGTGGGTATCAAAGATACATGGGATTTTGAAGACTCCAACCAAAAACAAGAATTTAAAATCTCATGAACAATTATGTTTTGTACGTGCTGAAATACCACAACTTTGGATATAGAGTTATATAAAATGTATTATTAAAATTAATGTAATCTCTCTTTACCTTTTTTTCAAGCGGTGAATAGAAAATATTAAACTATACACATGGCTGGCATTGATGGCTCATGTCATATTTCTTTTGGCCAGTGCTGGTCTAGAAGAAGCCCAGTTTGTGTAAAGCAGAATGCGAAGATGCACAGGGCAGTATGAGTGGGATGGGAGAAGGAGTGAAGTGTCTATGTAGATCTTTTGCCCCCTTTTATAACTGGGCTGCTTGTTTTCTTATTATTGAGGTTTAAGAGTTCTTTGTATATTTTTGATACAAGTCTTTTTTCAGCTATTTTCAGGTCAAATATTTTTTTCTGGCCTGTGGCTTCTCTTTTCAATCTCTTAATCTAAGTTTCCATAGCACAGGTTGATTTGGGAAAACTGGCCTGATACAGTTCCTCTAAAAAGTGTGGTACCCTTGGGCAAATTATCCAAGCATACTTAACTCACCAGTAAAAGGGCTTAACTCACAGGCTTATTGTGATGACTGAAAACTATACATGAATATCTATACACATGATGAATGGCTACATATGTGCTTGTGATGCTCGGCGCAATGCTTACTCATGGCACATGCTCAAGAAATTCAATAATTACTATGCCTAAAAGGTGCTCCCAAACTTTTACAAACACTCCCTATCCTGGTGCCAGCAGTGGCTCCCAATTCCATTTCCCCCAACACCTCTCAGGGGGTGGCTGGCAGCCAAACAGAGGGAGGGGGCTCAAGTGGGCAGTTAGGAAGTGAGAAGACATTTCCAGGGCTCCATGAAAAGATCACTAACTACAGATGCCCTGGCCCGAGGCATCTGAAACCTTGAAAGGATGGAAAAATCTATGTCATACCTCACCCATAGCATCTAGGTCAACTTGAACATTTATTAAGGAAACTAAAACAGGCTATCACCTTCAAAAATGATCACTTTGTCCCGAAAAAGCAGAAGTAATGATTAAAATTTATGGGTCTAGACTTGAGCCAAGAATCACATCCGTGTTGATCACTGTTCATGCCCATGTGCTCACGCTAACATCTCCAGAGTTTCTTCGCTCATTTGCCCCATAGTAAGCACCAGATGGCAACGCGAGGCTCCAGGAAAGTGAAAGTAAGATTGGAACGTAGCCCACAGAATGCTGCCCACAGAAAGTTGATGCAAAGGAAAAACATTGCATCAACTAAGAAGCATAAATAATGGGTTCTATTGAAAATAGAATGAGCCATAAAGGAAATGCAAATGGGAACCACAATAAGATGCAACTTCACTCCCACTAGAATGGCCATCATCAAAAAGACAGATAAGAACAAGCGCTGGCAAAGATGTGGAGAACCTTGTCCAGTGCTAGTTGGAATGTAAAACGGTGCAGCCACTTTTGAAAACACTCTTGGCGCTTCCTCAGTTAAACAGTTACATGTGACCTAGCAATTCCACTCTTAGGTATACATATCCAAGAGAATGAAAACATATTCACATAAAACTTTGTACACAAACGTTCACAGCAGCATTATTCATAAGTCGAAAAGTGGAAACAACCAAAATGTCTATCAACTGAATAATGAATAAACAAAATGTGGTCTATCCATACAATGGAATACTATGTAGCCATAAAAAAAAGAAATGAAGTACTTATACATACTACAATGTGGATGAACCTTGGCAATATTATGTTAAATAAAACAAGTCGGATGCAAAAGGCTCCATATTATTTAATTCAATTTATACGAAATGTCCAGAATGAGCAAAAGTATAAAGACAGAAAGTAGATTCCTCCTCAAAAAAAAAAAAAAAAAGGCCGCTCAACAGCACACATTTATTGAGCACATGCTCTACTGGGGGCACCCAGTGCCAGATGCTAGAAGTACAGAGGCAGCAAGACAATGCTTGCTTCAAGGAACTGGCGTCCAGTCTTTTCATGCCAGACCTAACTCTGTTCGGCAAGTCTGCGTAGCCCTACATTTTTGGAACCGGCTTCGAAATGGAAGGTCATTCAAAGCCTTATTCTTTTTTTTTTTTTTTCCACTGTGTCTCCAAGACCTGACACCGAGAGCCACCAGCCAGTCAGTCATGTGTCGATGGAACTGCTGTAGCACTGGAATGGAACCCATTAGCCACAGCCAGGTAACAGGTCGCGAACAGTGCTCCAAAGCCTGATTCTCGAGAAAAGAAAATGACACCCAATTCGTTTCTCAGAAGATGGGCTGTTTTACTAACAAACACCTAAGCTGAGCAATCAACTAGCACTAAAACCCAGCTGTCAATGTAGGCTTCCCTCCATATCGAGTTTCTCATCAAGAAGATCACGAAAATAACACCTTCATGAGGTTGCTGTATGGATTAAATGAGAACATATCAGCAGCCCTGGTCCACAGTACAGGCTCTATGTCTTCCTACCACCTTGAGATTGTGAAATCCACAATCTCAAGGGGAATCAAGCTGTTGCTTTCACAGCCTGGGCCAGAATAAATGTCCAACCACGAGGAGAAGGAAGCACAAACCACACTCACAAGACCCTTCCTTCATTTACCAATGAGTTTCCTATCTGTAACAGATGGAAAAGCTGATGGACGCCCAGGTGCAAAGCAGGGCGGAGGGTAACATATGAGTCAGTGCAACTTTCCTGGGGACAAATGAACACTGTGCCCGAGTCCACGACACAGCCTTTCCTTCCTCCAGAAATCCTTTTAGAAACTTATCCTAGGGAAATTACCAGCGATGTGCCTGAGAGTTAGCTATAATATTGTTCCCAGCATCAGTGTTTGACACGGCAAAACAACAAACTACGTAATATCCAAAATTTGAAGATTGGTAAAAAGATAAAATTAAAATTAAAAAATAAAGTGGAGAAGTAGTGCCATTTAAAACATGACAGAGGCGTGGAGTGGGAAGATTTGCACAACTGGAAACAATCTAAGTGTAATCAAAAGGACAGGTGGATTCCTCAAGGTGTACCCACTGAGTGAAACCACTAACAGGAGTCAAAATAACACTACTGATATCGATGTGGATACTTCACAATATATTACATACTAAGCACAAATTACATTTTCTGAAATATAAAAAAAAAATGCATGGGAATGATATTCATCAAAGTGTAATTCTGGTTCCTCTAGGGCAGGAGGACTATACGTGAAGACAGTTATATTTATAGTATCTTATTTCTTAAAAAAAAAAAAAAGATCCAAAGCAAATACTATGATTTATCTACGTTGGTTAGGAGAGCGTATTCATTGTTTATGGTTGCTATACAAATTACTATAAAATTAGTGGCTTAAGACAACACAGATTTATCATTTTACAGTTCTGGAGCTCAGAGATCCAAAAGGGGTCTCGCTGGGCTAAAATCAAGGTGCGGGCCTGGCTTCAGGGAAGCCCTTCTGGGCACTCTAGGCAAGAGTGTCTCCTTGTCTTTTCCAGCTGCTGGAGGCCATCTGCCTCCCTTGGCTCATGGACCCCTTCCACCTTCACGGCCATTGATTTCATCACTCTGACTTCTGCTTCTTTCATCACATCTTCTCAGTCTCCGGCCCTCCTCCTTTCCTCTTTCACTTATAAGGACCCTTGTGGTTACATCGGATAATCTAGATAATCCAGAATAACTTCCCATCTCAAGATCCTTAACTTAATCACATCAGCAATGAACCTTGTACAATATAGGGTAACAGAGTCATAAATTCTGGAGATTAAGATGAGGACCTCTTTGGGGGTAGGAAGGATCACCTTTATTTTACCTAACAGGGTATAAAGAAATAATAATAGTAACACTAATAACAGCCGCAACAGCAGCTAACTCTTATTGAGTGCTTTGGGATACTTTGAGGCAATACCCCAAAAGCATACTACATAATTAGCTTACCTAATCCTCATGAGAATCCAGTGGCAAGGCACCGCTATTATCCCTCTATGTAGATGGTACGATGAGAAGTTAAATAACTTGGCCATGGTCACAAACATTGTAAGGGGCAGAGCCAAAATCTGAACCCAGGCAGTTGGACTCTCGAGGACATGCTCTTGAGTACATAGGTGTTTGTCATCTTAGTCTCTACACCTATCTCAACTTCTAAAATAGCTCACAATAATAATAAAACATGGTCACAATATAGCACAAACTGCCAAGGGCATAATACTAAAGAGTATTATGAAAGGATTGCGTTTTGTAAACATATATCTGTCTTGCATAAAAAAGATCTGGAAGGGTGTACACACATACGGGCCTCTGGATGGGGGCTGAGGGAGTTGTTACCCTCAGTCAGTTGTAGCTTAAGATGTTTCTACTAATGAATACACGTTACTTCTACAATGGGAAAAAGAAGTCATTTTAATTAAGGAAAATAAAACAAGGTCAGAGGAGACCAGCTCAGAACCCTCTTAAACAGGAAATCGGCATAATGTTCACCCTTGGCCACCCGGCCTGGGCCCTTCTTGCCCCCCCACCAGGGCCACAGGTCCTCCTCCAGCCAGTCCCCAGGCAGGCGTGGGGGGCTGCTGCCACCAGCAGTGGCTGGCAGCAGGCCAGAAGTGGCCTGGAGAGACTGGGCGTGGTGCAGAGGGGACATCTGGCCATTGGGACCCCCTGAGGCTGGCACCTCCCCCGTGAGCCCTGTAGAGTCCCCTCTTCCTGCCACATTTGCTATGTTCTGTGTTTACTGTAACTTTGTTAATCTCCATTCTACAAATTAGTAAGTTTCCATGTTTCTCTTTCTCAGAACAGGATCCTTCTTCACATGCACAGACCTGCTGTCCCACCCCAGACTGTCTCCCACTGTGGCCACCAGCACAACTCGTGTAAGATGAGAGCAGCATCTTACAGCATCGTCCCAACAGTGCCGGGAGAGTGGAAAAGGCCTCTTTCATCCTAAACTGGTATCATCACTGATTCTGTTTACAAACCTTCGCCATCGCCCCGTTGACACTACTCCAAGTCCAGGCCTCCCCAGACTTGCAGAAAGAGAAAGCCAGGAGCTGAGCTGCCTGCCTACACCTCCTTCTCAAATCCAAGGACCTTAACTCCAATAGGACCCCCAGCCCGGCCGGTGCCAGAGAATAGCAAGAGGAAGAGGCCTCTACATGTGTGGACTGCACTGCGCCCTCTCCCATGCCCCCAAATAGCCACAAATGCATGCTCTGCAAGCGATCATGGCAGCGTGAGCACAAGGCACCCTCTGTCAAGTACATACCACGCATGCTACATGCATTTACAAATTTAATGCTCATAACAATCCTACAGGGTAGTTTCGCCATTGCCCCATCTCCCAGCTGAGTAAACTCAGGCCCAAAGGAACTAAGAGGTGGAGTGAACTGCCCAGGGTCATGCGGCCAGTGAGCGGAGGGCCAAGACCGGAACCGCTGTGTGTGGTTAAAGAGGAAGTTGTCACAGAGATGCCCTATCTTAACCCAGATACTGCCATCTCTGGAGAGAATGAGAGGGACAAAGGCTGAAAGGGCATCTAGGTCCTTTCCCTGATTTGTCTGCTGTGTATTTGTGAAGCACCCACTGCAGGCCAGGCACGGGCTAAGTGCTGGGGATTCCTCCCTGGTGAGCAAGACAGACAGGTACCTGCCTTCCAGAGCTCACAGTCTGAGGTGAGGACGCCGAGGACCTGGCTCCAAGGTCAGGCTTTGCCAGAGGGCAGGAAAGTCACCGCCAGAATTTCTGGCTTCCACTTCAAACTGCATAGCATTTAAGTCTCTTCCAAAACAAAACAAGACGTGTCACTTTGCTAGCCTAATATGAGGAAATGCACACTTATATCTAAGATAGATATGGGAGCGGCAGGCGGTGGGAATGATCTTTCCAAACGGACTCACCAAAGGATTTCTTCTAACGGCTCCCTCCTCTAGTTAGACATCCAGAAGAGCTTTAACTTGCAGCTACCAGTCAGGAGCCTCTAATTACACAAAGCAGGACACACCTGCATTCCAGGTCTTGGCACTACTGCGAGAGACAGAGGCTCCCTGGCTTCTCAGAGTGGACCGTGTCCACACTCCAGCTGTCTCTCCTCTCTCCCCCGACAGCCAGATGGAGTTCTGGGCTGGGACACCTAATTCCCCAAAAGCCAGACTGAAAGAAACTCATGTCTACACCCCACAGCCATGGGAGCACAGAGAACCGGATCAGCCACAACTAACTAGACACACACCAGGTCCTCCAAAGGGGAGGCTTGTTTGCTTGGAGTAGAGATTTCAAGAGGAGACAGGAGAGAAGCATGAGGAGTAATAAGGAGAACAAACCTTACATAGTGTTTCCCAGGCACCTTTCTAAATGACTTACCTACAGGACGTCATCTGATCCTAACCGCCCTCCAAGGAGGGTGCCATCATTCTCCCCATTTTATGGGTGAGGAAACAGCAGCACAGAGAGGTCAGTCTCTTGCCCAACGTCACACAGCTAATAAGCAATAGAGCCAGGAGTCAAACCCAAGCAGGCTGGCTCTAGTCCCCACATTTCACCAGGACACGGCACCGCCCCTCACACCCTCATGGCCCAAGCCAAGACCAGTGTAGCCAGGAAGCAAGATGACACTTGGGATACTCTTAAATTCTTTTACAACCAACTCCAACTTACCCATAATATCTGTGGCCAGAAGGATATATCAATTGCCAGGCTCACGCCACTGCCCCTCAGGCCCCTTTTAAAGGGGAGTATATTAGTTTGCTAGGGCTGCTATAACGATGTACCACAAACTGGGTGGCTAAAACAACAGAGATCCATTGTCTCATAGCTCTGGAGGCTGGGAGTCCCAGCTCTAGGTGTTGGCAGGGAGGACCTATGCCGTGCCTCTCTCCTAGCTTCTGGCGATGGCTGGCAATCTTTGGTGCTCCTTAACTTGCAGATGCATCACTCCAATCTCTGCATCCATCATCACATGGCCTTCTCTACCTGAGTGTGTGTGTGTGTATGTCTTATCAGGGTACCAGTCATATTGGATTAGGGGCCCACCCTATACCAGCATGACTTCATCTGAACTAATTATATCTGCAGTGACCCTATTTCCAAATAAGGTCATTCTGTGGTACTGTGGGGTTAGAGCTTCGACATATGAATGGGGCGGGGGGAGGGCGGACACAATTCAACCCATTACAAGGACCCATCCCTGCCCATAAGCCCTGAAAAAGCCACACTATGTTCTCCAATAAGAGATGC